ACTTTTTCTAACCATTAAGAGTTTACAGATTTTTATTGTCATTTATTGCAGATATCTTATGAATGGGCTGGAGCAATAGCACAGTGGTAGGGCGTTTGCCTTGCACGCAGCCAACATGGCTGCCCCTCTCGGAGAGCCCGGCAAGCTACCGAGAGTATCTCACTCACACAGCAAAACCTGGCAAGCTACCCGTGATGTATTTGATATGCCAAACAAAGTAACAAGTCTCACAATGTTACTGGGCCTGCTCGAACAAATCGATGAAAAACGGGAGGACCGTGACCGTGATCTTATGGATAAAAATAATATATTTATTTTATAATTGTTCTCCTTCCCCATTGCAAAGGTCACTTTTCCCCTTCCTGTAATAATTATTTCAAATTAAATATATTTTTCTCCAAGCTTCCAAGCTGGTTTTTTATTTCAAACTGTTAAAAATGCACTTTGTATTGAGTTGGAAAATGCTGCTGGTCATAAAAAAATCACACAATTTCTGAAAGAGAAATATAGGCACTATGGGGGAAGTGTATGGTTTGGTTAATGAGAACAGGTGAACAATACAGGTTAAATGACAAAAAGAAAATAAAACAGCACAAAAGCAATGGGTGACACAGGCAAAATGTGTCTTCAAGTAACCAGTAAAGGGAATATTCTGAGTTGACAAGGAGCAGAGATCACATCTTTGTAGACTGAGAAATACACAGGCTAAACTAAAATAATGGGGTTCATTTTGGGTCTTAGATTCTCATGTCATAGAGCATAAACTCAGGTTTTACTCCCTGATGATATCCCACTGGGTTTTAGGAGGTCTCAAAAGATAAGAATGAGAGCAAAAAGGACAGAAAAACTGAATTGATTATAGGTTGCATTTATTGCAGTTCACTGGCTTTTACTCATAGTGCTTTGGTTACTATGGAGAGAAGAAAAATTATCTTTGCACAGTTCCTGAAAAAGTCTGTGTTTAGATGGAACAAGATTACTGTCACTCGGTAATTTTTTTAATGTTGGTTCTATCAAACATCAGGCACGCATTAATGCTGCCGAGGCCTATGCCATACAGAGACAAAATCAGGGCAAATGTTTTAATTGTGGGAAATCAGGCCACTTCCGTAAGGATTGCAGGGCACCTCCCAAACGAGCAACTGTGAGACCACCACCTGGACCTTGTCCATGATGCCGTAATGGAAACCACTGGGCCAGAGATTGCTCCCTCAATCTTGGTGTAGCTGGTGATCCTAATTCGGGAAACTTGCAGTGGGGACAACCCCAGACCCCGCAAAATCAGGGGATGTTCCCGGCTGCAGCTCTTCTCCCCGAGGTGGAGCTTCAGAGCTCCAGTCAATAGATTCACTACAACCAGCCACAGCAGGAAGTGCCGCCCTGGATATACCCTGCCCTGATACAGTTACCATCTCTCCTGCTCAATGTCCTTACAAATTAAGGTCTGGTATAAAAGGACCCATTCCACCAGTCACGGTGGGCCTTCTCTTAGGGAGAAGCAGTTTGACTATTAAGGGAATTAATGATCATGTTGGGGTCATTGATTCTGACCATACTGGGGAAATCATAATTGTCATTACGGTACCAACCGTTTGGATGTTTAAAAAGGGAGAGTGCGTTGCTCAGCTTCTCTTACTTCCTTTTTTCATGCCCAGTCAATCCACCCGTCCTAGAACTGGAGGTTTTGGCAGCACTAATCCTTTGGTTGGCTATGTTGCTCCTCTGAGGAAGCGCATCCGCCCTCAAACAACTCTTGAGATCCATGGGAAGAAGTTTAAGGGTATGATTGACTCAGGAGCCGATGTCTCTATCATATCTACCCAATACTGGCCCCGTAACTGGGCTGTTCAAGAAATACCCTATAGTCTGCATGGAGTTGGCATGTTGTCCTCTTCCTCTGTCCGGCAGAGTGCCAGATGGTTAAAAAGCATTGGCCCAGAAGGAGCAGTAGCCACTTTCCAGCCCTATATAGCACCCATATCTATGAACCTTTGGGGGCGAGATCTACAGGAGCAATGGCGAGAGGAGATTAGGATCCCCCCTCCACTTCCTCCTGTAACCCCTGATTCTGAAGCTACCCCTTTTTAATCGGGGCCACTGCAGTTCAACCCCTCCGCATTCAGTGGAAATCTCATGATCCTGTGTGGTCCTCGCAGTGGCCCCTTAATAATGAAAAATTAAGGGCGTTAGAATCATTAGTGGAAGAGCAATTGAACTTAGGGCATATTGAAACCTCATTCTCAGAATGGAATTCCCCTGTTTTTGTTATCTGAAAGAAGTCAGGAAAATGGCGTTTGCTGATTGACCTAAGGAATGTTAACTCCACTATGGTTCCCATGGGGGCTCTTCAACCTGGCCTTCCCTTCCCTGCTGCTATTTCTAAAGATTGGCCTCTGGTTGTTATTGATTTAAAAGACTGTTTTTACAATATTCCCATCCACCCAGATGACCGTAAGCGCTTTGCATTTTCTGTTCCCTCTCTTAATAATCGTGCACCCATGCGCAGGTATCAGTGGACTGTCTTACCCCAGGGTATGACCAACTCCCCTACCATGTGTCAATATTTTGTTGATTTGATTTTGCGCCCTTCCCGCATTGTTTCCTCAGGCTTATGTTATCCATTACATGGATGATATCTTGCTTGCATGTTCTAATGATAGAGAGCTTCAAAGATTGTATGAGGATGTGATAACCCGCCTACCAGCAGCTGGATTGCAAATAGCCACAGAGAAAGTCCAAATGTCGCCCCCATATGAATATTTAGGTTATGTTCTTGAGCGGACCACAGTGCGACCTCAAAAGATTTCTATTTGCCATGATGAGCTTAAAACTCTCAATGACTTTCAGAAACTGATAGGGAACATTAACTGGGTCTGCCCCTCCCTCGGCATCCCCAAGTCAGACCTCCATAATCTATTCCTGACCCTTGAAGGTGACCCCGCCCTCGACAGTCCGAGGCAATTTACCCCTGAGGCTAAGAGAGAGTTAGCATTTTTCCTAGATCGACTCCAGAAATCTCATCTTTCTAGGTTTGCTCCAGAAGAGAAATTGTGGCTTCTGCTTTTTGATACCCCCCAGTCGCCCACTGCTGCTCTCGCACATCTTTCAGGCCCAATTGAATGGCTCTATCTGCATAATACGGAGTCTCGCACTCTGGTGCCTTATCTCGAGTTAATAGCTAAACTAATCATTAAGGGAAGACTGAGAGCCCTTGCTATGCTGGGGTTCGACCCTCATGTCATAGTCCTCCTTATCCCAGCAAAGGAGATCGCCTCCATCCTGCCCCTCAGCGATGTTTTGCAAAGAGCTTTAGCTGAATTTTCTGGAGAACTTTCCTCCTATTATCCAGCAGGAAGAAACTGGGACTTTTTCAAAAAAACCCCATTTGTCATTTCCTCCATCATTTGCACCTCCCCCATCCCTAATGCTCCGGTATACTACATTGATGGCTCTGCCTCAGGGAAAGGTGGAATTTCTGGACCCTCCCTAACCACAACAGTAAATACTAACTATACCTCTGCCCAGCAAGTGGAACTTGCCACCTTGGTTTACCTACTCTCCCATGTGTCAGGGCCCACAAACGTCGTCTCAGACCCAGCTTATGTTGTTGGCCTCTTCCCGGGAATTGTGACAGCGTCTCTAAATGCCCCAAATCCTATAGTTCAGCAACTGCTTCAGCAGTTACAGGCTCTTTTACAAAAGCTCTCTGAACCTGTTTTTATTACTATTATCAGATCTCATTCTGGCCTTCCTGGGCCTATGACTCGGGGAAATGAAACTGCCGATCTCTTGGCAGCGCCCATCTTTACTTCTGCTACAGAAGAGCACCAGGCTTTGCACACAAATAAATGCCCGCCGCCTTCATGTTCACCATCGCATCTCTATGCGAGAAGTCAGGCATATTGTCCGTGCTTGCTCTATCTGTGCTCCTTTACACTGCACCCCCCATGTGGCGGGAGCTAATCCCCGAGGCCTGCAAACCAATGAATTGTGGCAAATGGATATTACCCATGTCACGTGCTTTCCTAACAAACCTTTTCTTCATGTGGCAATAGATACCTATTCTCGCTTCCTGTGGGCCATTCCCATGTCTTCTGAGAGAGCCAAAGCAGTCTGCTCGTTTCTATTACAGTGTTTTTCTGTCATGAGTGTTCCCTCTGCTATCAAAACTGACAAAGGCCCAGCCTATACTAGTAAAGCTTTTAAAGCTTTTTGTGATGAATGGCAAATCAAACACATTACTGGAATTCCTTATAACCCACAGGGACAAGGCATAGTTGAACGTGCTCACAGAACCCTCAAAACACAATTATTAAAAAACAAAAAGGGAGGTATGCCTCCACTTGACTCCTTGTCCTTGACATTGTTTACTCTAAATTTTTTAAGTCTACCTCAAGGAGAGCCACATACAGCAGCCGAAAGGCATTTTCAGGAAGATGCACAAACCCAGAAAAATATTAATTCTCCTATTTGGGTTAAAATTGACAAAGAATGGGTAGCAGGGAAACTCCTCATTCGAGGAAAAGGCTATGCTTTTGTTTCAACAGATGATAATCCAACTAAGAAACTATGGGTCCCGTTGCGTCTCATCAGGAGTCGAATTCACCCACCTGATGTGGCCTTCAAACCATCAGAGACTCCACAACCCGAAAAAACACAACTCCAAGACATCGCTAGACCTGTCCCAGCTGAAAATCAAGAAACTGGAGGAACTTCCGACAACAGAGGATCTGCCAAAGAAAAAGTGATCCCTAAAGGTCGGCAGAAAAAAACCCTAGACAAAGGCCTCTAGCCCTTGTAAAATATTATGGGGTCACACCAAACATCAGATCCGAAAAGGAAAAGCCATCCTCAGAACCCCCTACACTCTCTTTACCCTTAGAAACCTATTTTTGGTTATAATAGCAATCTTGTTCTGCAGTCCTGTGGTAAGTGAAGCTAAACATGTCTACTGGACTTACATTCCTCACACCCCACTTTTACAGGTTGTGGATTGGACCATGCCGGGACCCCGTTTTTGGACTAACAATTCCTTCCTTTTACCCTCTCCTTGGGATTCACAGTTGCCTCAGTTACCAAATGGAGAAGGAACACCTTTTAACTTTTCTCTAGGGTACTCACTTGATCCCGTCTGCATTGGAGCGCCTCCATATCTTTCCCTTCACCCTCAGACTTGGATTCATACCAAGTCCCCAATGCATACCACTCCTGATCACTGGCTAAAAGATTTTTCTTTTACACGTTTTCTTTCTATTGATGTGACATCCACTAACTTAACCTCTCTAGGTCAACCCCCTATCCCTCGCTGTGAATTTATCTCTATGAAAGATTGGAAGTACTCGCCCAGGGAGTGGACTGAATGCCGTTCCCCCCTAGGCAAACTATCTCATCGTAAGGATTACGAGCTGATAGACTGGGGACCTAGAGGCAAGTTCCTTCCTGATTGTTCCGATGATCCAGATTACACTAAATGTCATTTTCTCCCTGCAGCTAAGTGGTGTATCACTTCTCCTTTTAGCTCTCCTCCAAGCTTTCATATCAAGACACACAAACTGCTAGAATGGCACGATGGGGGATACGCCCCCCCTCAACCTCGAGCTACCCATAATGGAACACTCTATCCGGAACATACCGATCTATGGAAGGTGGCTGCAGCCTTAAGCCCTGGCCACTACTGGGATGGATACTTGCGTGGCTCTAAGCAACAAAATTTTACTTATTACATTAATTATAACTCCTCTTTTTACATACAGGCATGTGTCAAGCATCCTTATGTGTTTGCTCGAGGCACTCTTTCTTTCGATCCTATTGATAAAAAGGTTTCTTGTCGTGATTGTGCATTATTTACCTGTCTCAATTCTTCCCTCTCAATCCAAGATTCTCCCCACAGTATAATTTTATTAAGGGCCAGATCGCACATATGGCTACCAGTGAACCTGACCAGAGAATGGCAACGCTCCCCTGCTGAAGGACTCCTGACTGAAGTTGTGAAACGACTGCTCCGACGTTCTCGACGATTCCTTGGACTCCTGATTGTGGCTATCCTGGGACTCATTGCTGTGACCACTACTGCTGCTGTTGCGGGAACAGCTCTTCAAACATCAATCCAGATGCACGATTTCGTCAAAACCTGGCAAAATGACTCTCACCACCTCTGGAAAATGCAGGCTACCATCAACCACGATGTCGAGCAAGGATTGGACACTTTACAACAAGCATTACTTTGGGTCCAGGGGCGGGTTGATATCTTAGAGCAACAAATGAGACTGTTTTGTGACTGGAATAGCTCTTCTTTCTGTGTTACCCCCCATAGATATAATGGGTCTGCTCATACTTGGGACAAAATCAGATACCATTTGCAAGATCTGAAGGGAAATATGTCTTTAGATACCCTCGCCCTTCAGGATGAGATTGTTCGAGTGTTTAAGGATAAACTCCCAGGAGTTCAGTATGAAAACTTAGCCCAGGGTATTGCGGAGGCCTTACAAGGCCTTGACCCGAGGTCATGGTGGCAAAGCATTACCCACGCTCTTGGTAGTGCTGGTATGGCCTTATTGTTCATGTTCATTCTATTGGCTATAGGATCCAGCCTCTTTCGGAAAAGACTAGCTAATACTGAGTCCCTGACCCATCAGAATTATTATGATCTTTGGCGTTTTGTAAATAGAAAAGGGGGAGATGTTGGAATATAGCTCCAAACATTTTAGGTTAATCCTGTTGCTGTTGCAGAAACAACTCTTCAAATTGTGATCAAATGAGACTTTTGTGTTTGTAATTGTTACTCTTTCTATTTCAAGTTTTTGTGTTTTTGTAAACAGAAAAGGGGGAGATGTTGGGTAACATTGCTTTGTCCTTCAAGAAGTTTAGGTTTATCTGGTTACACCCATCAATCTGGTTACACCCATCACAGTGCTCCTGAAGCACTTCCACTTCCATTGTGTTTACATGTAAACAGTCTTCCCTATGCTCTCCTTCCCACCCAGTTAATCAGCTTTCCCCTTAATCAGACTTTGTTAATTTGTAAGATCAGTTTCCCAGAAATCTATGATTTTATATATATGAGTGAAATATTGCCTTTCTCGTCTCCTTATGCCTTATGAATGGGTTACCTTAAAGTAATATCCTTTTTGTATAGATACAGGAAGACTGTTAACATTATGCTTTGTAACTTAGGATTTGATTGGCCTTGAATATTATTCACTCCTGGGAATCTGCTTTCTCGACTTAAGCCTCAGTTGCCCTTAGTTCCTAACACCCCAAAAGCAGGGTCCCGACAAGGGACTGAATGGACCCAGGGCAAGCGGTGAGCTACCCTGGCAGTGAAATGGGCCAGACCAAAGTGCCACGATTCTTAACTATAAGTTAAGAGTTTGATCATAGACAAATGTTGTCATGATCCAAAGGTAACGACAAGACTAGGATCCTGCTAGGGGTGGGAAAGACTATCTGGCCTGAGCACCGTAGTCTGAGATCGAGATGGCCCTAGGAGAGCAATTCTATAAGTTTAAGATATTTCTTACTGTATCCATACAAAATGATTTATATTATATTCTTATATGCTTGTCAGACAAGGAGAGGAGAGGCACGCCCATGGGATTATGCTCTAGGGTGGGTCCTCCTGCTGAGGAAGGATCTGTCCTAGGAGCGGTCTTCCCTGAGGCTAACATTTCTACCCCTGTTGATCTCTACCCCTACTGATTGTGACCACACCTATATGTAATTGTTTCCCCCATTCTCTTGGAGAGAGATATAAGGAGACTGTAGATTGGGCGGGGGGGGGGGGGCAGAGACAGAAAGAGAGACGAGGAAAAACAGAGAGAGAGAGGAGCAGAGAGAGAGAAGGAGAGAGGGAGCAGAGACAGATGAGGAGAGAATCAGAATAAACTATGACTAATACCAACCAGCCTGGCCCTCGTTCCTTCCTCCGCCTGACCATCGCCATCAACCTCTCTGGGGTGGGAGAAGGTTGAGACTACTGAACGCGGGCGGCGGGAGAGATAGAGCCACCGCCGCTGTGGGTGCCGAGCCTCCCTTGTGTGAGCTTACACAGTGAAGGAGTATCCCTTTCTCGCCACATCCGCTGCAGCATCGGTTACTTTTGATCTTTTGAATGTGGGCCAGTCTCTGGGGTGTGAGATGGTATCTCATTGTGGTTTTGATCTGCATCTCCCTGATGATTAATGATGTAGAGCATTTTCTCATGTGCTTTTTTGCCATTCGGATTTCTTCTTTGAGAAAGTTTCTGTTCATTTCATTGCCCCATTTGTGGATGGGGTTGGATGTTTTCTTCTTGTGGAGTTTAACCAGTATTTTGTATATCCTGGATATCAGCCCCTTGTCAGATGTGTATTCGGCGAATATCCTTTCCCATTCTGTAGACTGTCTTTTTATTTTGGTCACTATTTCTTTGGAGGTGCAGAAGCTTCTTAGTTTAAGATAGTCCCATTTATCTATCTCTGTTTTCACTTGCTCGGCCAGTGGCGTGGCATCTTTGAAAATACCATTAGCCTCAATGTCATAGAGGGTTTTACCAACTTTGTCTTCAATGTACCTTATGGTTTCTGGTCCAATGTTAAGGTCTTTAATCCATTTTGATCTTACTTTTGTACATGGTGTTAGGCAGAGTTCTGAGCCCATTTTTTTGCATGAAGCCATCCAGTGATGCCAGCACAATTTGTTAAAGAGGCATTCCTTACTCCACTTCACATTTCTTGCACCTTTATCAAAGATTAGATGATCATATGATTGAGGGGAGATGTCAGTGTATTCAACCCTGTTCCATTGGTCTGCAGTTCTGCCTTTGTTCCAGTACCATGCTGTTTTAATTATTACTGCTTTGTAGTAGAGTTTGAAATTAGGGAGGTTGATTCCTTCCATTTTCTTTTTCCCAAGAATTGATTTAGCTATTCGTGGGGGCTTATTGTTCCATATAAATATCAGGAGTGTTTGCTCCATTTCTTTGAAGAATGTCATGGGTATCCTTATAGGGATTGCATTGAAATTATACAATGCTTTTGGTAGTATTGCCATTTTGACAATGTTAAGTCTCCCGACCCATGAGTAGGGGATATCTTTCCATTTCCTCATGTCCTCTTTTATTTCCTGAAGTAGCGTTTTGTAGTTTTCTTTGTACAGGTCCTTTACTTCCTTAGTTAAGCTGATTCCTAGGTACTTGATTTTCTGGGGCACAATTGTGAACAGAATTTTTTTTTCATGTAGCTTTCCTCTCTCTCACTGTTTGCCTATAGGAAAGCCATGGACTTTTGGGTATTGATTTTATGGCCTGCAACTTACTATACAAGTCTATTGTTTCTAAGAGTTTTTTGGTGGATGTTATTGGGTTCTCTAAGTAGAGTATCATATCATCTGCGAATAGTGAGAGCTTGATTTCTTCCTTTCCTACCTGAATGCCCTTAATGTTATTTCTTGCCTAATCGCTATTGCAAGTATTCCAGTACTATATTGAACAGCAGTGGAGAGAGTGGGCATCCTTGTCTCATCTCTGCTCTTAGAGGGAAGGTTCTCAGTTTTTCCCTAAGGAGGATGATGCTTGCTATAGGCTTGTGGTAGATGGCTTTAACTATGTTGAGGAAAGTCCCCTCTATACCATTTTGGCTAGGGTTTTCATCATAAAGGGGTGCTGGATCTTGTCAAATGCTTTCTCTGCATCTATTGATATGATCATATGCTTTTTATCTTTTCTTTTGTTGATATGATGGATTATGTTGATTGATTTCTGAACGTTAAACCATCCTTGCATCCCTGGGATGAATCCTACTTGGTCATGGTGTATGATCTTTTTGATGAGTAGTTGGATTCTATTTGCTAGTAGTTTGTTGAGGATCTTTGCATCTGTGTTCATCAGGGATATCGGCCTGCAATTCTCTTTTTTTTGTGGTATCTCTGTCTGCTTTTGGTATCAGTGTGATACTTGCTTCATAGAAACTGTTCGGAAGTGTTTTTGATATTTCAGTTTCGTGGAAAAGCTTAAAGAGGATTGGGAGGAAGTCCTCTTTAAAGATTTGAAAGAATTCACTAGTGAATCCGTCCCGGCCAGGACTTTTGTGCTTGGGGAGACTTTTTCTTACCATTTCAATTTCCTTGGTGGTGATAGGTCTGTTCAGGTATTCCAGGTCTTCTTGGGTCAGCCTTGGGAGTCTGTAGGAGTCTTGGCATTTATCCATTTCCTCGAGATTTTGATGTTCCGTGGCATAAAGCTTCTCAAAGTACTCCCTGAGGATCCTTTGAATTTCTGTAGTTTCTGTTGTAATGACCCCTTTTTCATCTCTGATTTGGTTTATTAGGGTTTTCTCTCTCCCTTTCTTTGTGAGTTTTGCTAGAGGCTTATCGATCTTGTTAATTTTCTCGAAGAACCAACTCTTGGTTTCATTGATCTTTCGGATTGCTTTTTGTGTTTCCATCTCGTTAATCTCTGCTCTGAGTTTTATTATTTCCTTTCTCCTGTCGGGTTGTGCACCTTTTGTTGGTTCTTCTCCAAGCTCTTAATCTGTGAGGTTAGTTTATTTATGTGGGTTCGCTCCTCCTTTCTGAGGAATGCTTGTAGAGCTATAAACTTTCCTCTTAAGACAGCTTTTGCTGTGTCCCATAAGTTTTGGTAACTCGTGTTCTCATTTTCATTCGTTTCTAGGAATCTTTTTATTTCCTCTTTGATTTCCTGTCTAATCCACTCATTGTTCAATAGCGCACTGTTTAATTTCCAGGTGTTTGATTTAGTTCTCTTTTTTTTGCGTGTGATTTACTTCTTTTTTTTTTTTTTTGGATTTTTTTTCCCTTTATTTTATTTTATTTTTTTTAAAGTTGTAGATTTACAATTTTTTGTGCTTTGGTTTCAATTATACAATGATCAGATACCCATCCCTCCACCAGTGCCCATTTTCCACCACCATGGATAATATCCCTCCCACCCCCATCCCCCCATCCCCCCTGTCTCTGTGGCAGGGCAATCCCCTGTGTTCTCTCTCTCCTTTTGGGTGTTGTGGTCTGCAAAAGAGGCATTGAGTGGCAAACATGTTCAGTCCATAGTCTACTTTCGACATGCATCTCCCCTCCTGGGAGGATCCTCCAAACATCCTTTATTTGGTGCTCCCTTCTCTATCTGAACTGCCCTTTCCTCTAGGATACCCGGCTGGCCTCTAAGTTATGGAGTAATCCTCCCGGTGCTGATCTCAGCTATTCTTGGGTATTAATCTCATACTTTGTTACTTTATATCCCCCAGATGAATGCAATCTTTCTATGTCTATCCCTCTCTTTCTGACTCATTTCGCTTAGCATGATACTTTCCATATTGTACCACTTGTATGTAAATTTCATGACTTCATCTTTTCTAAGAGCTACATAGTACTCCATTGTGTAGATGTACCAAAGTTTCTTTAACCAGTCATCTGTTCTTGGGCATTCAGGTTTCTTCCAGTTTCTGGCTATTGTAAAGAGTGCTGCAATGAAAAAACAAGTGCAGATGTCACTTCGACTATACATTTTTGCCTCTCTGGGATATATTCCCAGGAGTGGTATTGCTGGGTCAAATGGGAGCTCAATTTCTAATTTTTTGAGAATCGTCCATACTGTTTTCCAGAAGGGCTGAACCAGTGGACATTCCCACCAACAGTGAAGGAGTGTCCCTTTCTCGCCACATCCACGCCAGCATCGGTTGCTTTTGTTCTTTTGAATGTG